GGGCGGATTGGGAAATTTCCAAAAAAATTCTTGCACAGCTAAAACGGCTGAAAAAGAAATTTCGCATGGGGAGCAATGGGGACACTGAAAAAACTCGACTTTCAACTAACCAGGTCCTGTGTTTGCACAAGCTATTGCCCACCAAGAAAGATCATACACAACTTAAAGGTGAGGAAATGTCCCAGATCCCAATCCCCCTCCCCCTCAAAAAATAATAGTCCGTCCCTAAGAAGAATTAACAACAGGACCCGATTATGTCTGCAACCCTAAAGGTAAAGTTAACATACGAGCCAAGAGCCCAATCAGGCCGGAGCTTATCCCGGTTTCAGTAGCACGAAGCGACTAGGAATACTTCTACTTCCTCCTGGATGGGATGCTAGTCCATCGCAGGGTTATCTCCAGCATTAAATTCGCCGGTACTCATTTATACACCTGGGTGGAGATAGTTCTGTGAGAGTAAAGTGTCTTGCCCAAGAATACAACGCGAAGTCCCCGGTCTAACCTCGAACCCAGACCGCTCGATCCGAAGACGAGCGCACTAACCATGAGGCCACCGCGCCTCCCTGCGGCCCTAATTAAGCTAGAGGTTTACAGGTTAAAATTTGTGAAGGCTTTTCGCATCTAAGCGGGTTAAGATTCCAGAGCCTGCACCTTGATGCGGCTTGGAACAAAGTAAAGGAAAACTTGAAATTAAGCGTTGTTTGGAATGAAGGTCTAAGGAGTATCGTGATACTGAGGGTCGCTGTTATTTTGTGCGCGAAATCAGTTGAAAACGTCTTAAAAATCAAACACATGGATAATAAGTTTGCTAGATAGGACATACATTCTATAGGAGAAAATGAGGGTTGAAATACATCGCGAAAAGTTCAATTTTCGCCCAGTAATTAGAAACGTTTTCAGAGTCAAAACGTCAAAAATAGTGTGCGCCTCACTTATTTGGATGTTGCCATGGCAACGAATGTTGACTTCATCCTTAATTAACAGGTTGACTCTAAAAGTCCTCTAACTATTGTAATGATCGGGCTGGTTGTATTAAAAAAAAAATACATACAGAGGTCTGTGCAGTATGTTAAAGGAGCTACGCCACGTTTTGCGCATCTTGAAAAGCTCAGGCTAAACTTTTCAATTTCTTTGTTTGTAATCCGTGTCAATCTTCTCCATCCTTAACCATCCTTATTCCTTTATTCTTTGTTATTATCTCGTTGGTGTTTTTCTATCTTAGTAAACTACTTTTTTTTAGGTTTCCTTCAATTTAAAGGTGATTTTGTTCGTGGCCAAAATAACATAAAATACCGTGATTGAGCTCTTTTAATCTTCTCATTTTTTCCTCCATCTCCGTCTTTTAGCAAACAAAACGAGGGCTCCGATTACAACGACGATACAACGGGTAAAGATAAAATTGATAACGCAATTGAGCCCGGAAAGATTTATAAGTACACCTGGAAGGTCCCTGAACGCGCGGGTCCCGGGGCGAATGGTCCAAAGTGTGCTACGTGGGCCTATTATTCTGACGTCAACCCAATAAAAGACACCAACAGTGGACTGGTAGGACCGCTGGTCATCTGCAAGAAGGTCAGACTTACTATCTTAGTCGATAGAGTTTCGTGATTATGGCTGAATTCAGTGAGGTTAAACATGCCACTGTTTAGCCTCTCTGACGTAAAAGGGCAAAGGTCAAGTCAGCGTTCGAGTTCACTGACCCATCAGACCTGAGCTTATCCCAGTTTTTGTAGCATGAAGCGACTAGGAGTATTTTTAACCCCCCCTGGAAGGGATACTAGTCCATCACAGGGTACCCCCCTGGCATTAAATTCAGAGGATTGGTATTTGATTGGATGATGATCATCGGAAACTGCTCGAGTGCCTCATCGAAGATTTTACGTTAAACCACCAGCCTCGAACTCAGACTTAAACAACCTCTCTGAATAAAGCGTTTTTGTATTCTCGGTATTGGACTGGAACTAGCTTGAAATGGAGGCTCATGCGGGGGAATATCATTAAAAAGAGATTCATGTCATTTGCATTTGAAAACACTCCCTGTATTAGCCTCAGTTGCAAGCTAGTTCCAGTCCAATACCGAGAATACGAAAATGGTCTCTTACGTGCTTCCTTGTGTAACCCCTCAATGGCAACACTGAGGTCGCCTCTACAGAATGTAATAGGAGTGTTACTTTGTTAACTAAGGAAACACTCGTAAACAGAAATGCCTTACTAATATGTCCCACATAATCTAGATCTGCCTTGTTTTTTTTTTTTTTACATCAGTATATTTCACACAAATGGGGCTTTTCGCGCGCGCTGATTGGCTAGCTCGGAAGTGATTAGCAAGTATTACACTACTGAAAATGTTAAGAAAAAGTGCTACGGTTACGGACTGGAAAAAAATATCCCAAACTTCAGAAGCGCAATTCTGATACATAGCCGACTAGGCGTATACTCAAGTCTGATATTATAAAAACAGAAGGGAAAGGGAGTTGGAAGAAGAAGAAAAAGAATCTTTTATGTGAAAGCAAGTTCTTTCAGAAAAGTAAGCCATAAAACGACAGAAATCTGTAAGAGTGATCGTGCGGGATCATTCGGGACAGTGCCCGGTCCAAGACTAGGAGAATACTGGACTGGCTATGGAGCAATCTGATTGGTTGATTTTAGTTATTGGCCCTCTGAACTAACTTAGTTGTGTAACAATTGTTTGTTATTATTCAAAGCAGGATACGCTGACGGAGGCAAATACAAGAAAAGATGTCCATCGAGAATTTGCGCTGATGTTCACCGTCCTTGATGAAAATGAAAGCTGGTACTTGGACGAGAACATCGACAAATATTGCACGAATCCTGGAAATAAGGACAACCTCAAGGCAGACGAGGACTTTCAGGAGAGCAACAAGATGCATGGAATCAACGGCTTTGTGTTTGGCAATTTGAAAGGTTTGGAAATGTATCAGGCAGAGCAAGTGGACTTTTATCTCGTTGGTATGGGAAATGAGGTTGATATGCACACCGTTCACTTTCACGGACAAACATTTATTCATGTAAGTAACATTAGGTGATATGTGCATGTTATTTACCGGCGTGGAAGTCTGTACAAAAAGACATACTTTTGTTGTACAACCGAAGCTATTGTTTCTACAGGTTTATTTTGGGTGTTATAGCAATGTCTTGTTAATAAACAAGCTGAGAGGATAATACCAATAACACCATCACTACTGATGATTTTTTTCAGAATTAGAATGATTTTGTTTTAGATATTCGCTTTCAAATATACTAAATAAGTCAAGTGAAAATTACACAGTAGACTATAAATTGAAATTATGTAATTAATTTGTGAGTTGATTCCTATTCGCTTCATTTTTATTTTCAAATACTTTGACAGAAATCTGTTGCAATTGGCTACCATCGTGAGGACGTGTACGATCTCTTTCCCGGAGTCTTTGCAACCGTGGAGATGATTCCAGACAGTGTGGGAGTCTGGTTGCTTCACTGTCACGTGAACGATCACATGACTGGTGGTATGGAGGCACTTTACACCGTTCATGGTAAGTATGATGGGATGAAGAGCACTTGTATAATAACTGTTTTATCCGCAAAGTAAATTTTGTTTCTGTGAAAAGTGAATTTATTGGTCATCTGACAAAATTGAGCAAAATTATGAAGAGTTGTTCATGGACTCGGAATTTAACCAATGAAAGAGGACTTTTCGAAGTTCTCTTACCGAGTCTTTGAAGATTCTGAATTTATTTTGCTTTCAGTTCTCGGATTTTCTTCATTTTCGGCAATCGACAAATTTGCGTTGCGTTCCATTTAAGTACAGCTGGACCCCGCTAATTCGAATTCCCCGTTATTTCGAACTCAAAACCGTTTCCTTTGGATTTGCCCTTCATTCATTTACTATCAGTTATTTCAAACTCCCGCTACTGCGAACTACTTTCCGTTTCCCCTGAGCTGACTTCGAAATAGCGGGGTTCAACTGTACATTAATTGTCATTTATCTTTGCTTGTGACGCATCACCGATAACACACCCTTAACCCTATTTAACGATCAATCTGACGGTGACATACCAACCGGTGATTATGTTTTTAACTCGAAACAGACGCATCGCTGAAACCAACCACTGGTTCCATTGATCCAGAAAGCACCGCGGTCTCACATATGGCGAGCAGCTTCTACGTTAGTTTGTTGTTAGTTGCTGCTGTAATTTTGTACTGAAAGCTTGGTTAAGGACCGGAGCAGAAACCAGATGAACGACTGAAAAGGACCCAAGAAAATGTAAACTTACAACTTGCATTTTCAATAATCGGCTTACTAACTTACCAGTGAAAAGACCACGTGACTAACGAATGAACGGACGGACGACAGACGGACGGAAGGACGGACAGTCGGTCGACCGACTAACTTACTAGTGAACAGACCACGTGACTGACGCATTGACTGACGGAAAGACGGACGGACCGACGGCCTAGCAAAAGTAGATTAACTCTCACAATCAAATACAAAACAGCAACGACAACAACAATAACAAAAACAACAACGACAAAAGGTTCATGAATGGGCTCTGCATGACTAACTGACCAAAGAAGCAAACGAGCAAACAAACAAACGGATAAACGGACAAACAAGCGAGTAATCGTCTGTTAACTTTTACGTTAGCTTTGTAGCAAAATTTGTTAGGAACGTTTTACTTTTAGCGACGTGGGGTACGGTAAAATCTAATGCTGTAGATAGACTAAGCAGTATTTGTTTAAGAAGCATGCTTGTCTTTGCAACAGACAAAAAACAAGGATCGACTGCGAAATGTAGATTAAAATTTTAAAAGTTAGAGCGGAATTTAGCACATCTGAGTAGACCATCATGGCTAACACATGGATTCGGATGTGCTGTAATCCACCATACCATTGGCACATGAATTTAGCCATAACTCAGTCATGGAGCGTTTAACCCCTAAATTGCTCATACAAGTGCACAGAAAACACGATGTGGTTAGTACGGGGACAAATTTCATCAAAGTATGGCTTTCGATGTGCCTGTTGGGTGTATTACGTCCGCAAGTTATTATCGTGAAATGCACAGCCGCCATCATTTTTTTCCAGCTTTTGTAAACTTAGAGATATTTGTAAGACAACGCGATTCACGTTAAAGAAATTAAAAATCACATTTCTTTGTCACATTATTGCTTTGTAAAATTGATTACATGAAAAGGAGGTGAAGCATAAGTGACGGGCAACTCTAATGATTGACGCTGTTTCGTGAAAACTAAACATAACAACAAAGAATTCTGGGAAAATGCTGTTTTGATCGTTACTACTGATAAAGTAACGAGTTCTGACAAAAAACTGAATGCGTATGTACATGTACACAGTACTTCATAGGCAAAGAACTGTCGACGAGACTAAATCCACATTTCATTATACGTCTCCTTGCCTTTAGAATTACCCTAGCGAGTCGAGGGCTATAGTGATTTCCTGACCTCAGTGGAGAGTGAGACAGACAAACTCGTCCAGCATCTAAAAATATCCACGACTAGATAACATGACCAGTAAAGCAAGTCATCTGGTGAGCAAATGGCGGAGTAATTTCCAGCACAAAACAACTGGCATTTGAATCCGTAGTCGCTTGTTGAAAGCTCGCACTGCGAGTCATTTTACCCCCGCAGTGGTCGTTAATTAATCAGTGGTTTATAGCTAACTTAGGTGAATTTGAAAAACGCTGGCTTTGCGTTATAGTGTGGACTGAAAACATTTTTAATCCAAAACGTCAAGGGTGTACTCAAGCGTTTCTGGCACCGGTGATTGCTGCGTTTTCAAATTTCTCCGGCGTAATGTGGACGGAAAACTTTTGATGCGTTTTTAGAGTGAAGAATCTCGGGGTAGTGTGAATGGAGCCTAATAGCTCTTATTGCAGTTGAGCCTGCGGTCAAATATTCCTTTGTTTAAAAAGGCATACAAACGAGGCGAAAGGGTCAATACAATGCAGAATTACCCTTTCGCCTCGTTTGTATGTCAAACCGCTGATAACTTCAATAACAGCTATTTTCAATTATTACTATTGGCACTACCAGTGGAAGTTGTTGTTCTTAATGCGTCCAATTTTAGACAACAAATTTGCTTGCGCAAGGGTTGCAGAACCATCTCAGTTATATTTCTGTTGATTTAAGAGACCTTTGAATATAATTCCTTGAATTTTTCAGAAAGCTTTTGAAGAAAAAATTCATTTGTGGTTGTTAATTTCAAATAGCACTGCAAATCGTGTGATTACCTAAGCTAATGTCGATTTGTCGACATAAGAACTATTGTTTGCTCAAATGCATTATTACTTCGCAATGAAAGCTTGTCAGTCGATTGTATGTGTCGCTGCTTATTTGCTTAGAAGCTAATACAAAGGCTTCCTCTTTATCTGCGGCTGCTTTGAATGAACTACTAGTAAGATTAGATATCCAAATAAAGATCTTCTAACTCATGCCATCTATCTATGCACCGGTACGTTTTTCCAGCTAGGAACCGATTATTGGAGAAATCATACATGTGCAAGGGCTTACTGTAAAACATCATCAGTACAAATTGGGTTTTCACTAAGATAAGAAAAAAATGAATAGAGGGAATATTGGAAAAGTTAGGTATTGCGAAGCATGCAATAATAATTTGAATGTTGTTTTTTTATCGGATACAAATCTGGTCTTGTGTTGACATTGCTAGTAAAGTAAAGCAAGGTAAAGTATGTGTCAATTTTTTTCAGCTTCATAGAAACTAATTGGAAAGGCGATCCCTTCTGAAGAAAAACAAAAGAAACTGTTACTAGTAGGTAATTATGTGCTCGACGTCCAAAGTAATTTTGGGCCCAAATTCAGTTGCATGCGAAGAGACTTCATGTACTTTACAAGGAGAGAAAGTTTGGATGATCTCAATGTTGAACTTTCAGTTAAGCGTTTTCGGTTTTGTCCACTTGAATTTGTGCACGCGGACAGTTTAAGGCCAAAGCCTCTGAGGTTATTTTTTTCCTCGGCCACTGGCCTTAACATTGGAATTAAACAGGTATATGTTAAAAAGTCCATCCTGCGCTAGCATTTCCTCCAGGGAACAAACGAATCCGACTGCTACCATTGCAAAGATTCATTTCGCAATTTTAAATTAACTGCTTTCTCAGCATATTAAAACTAAGGGCAAATTTAAAGGCAGAAAATATGCTACACTTTTCTAAAACAGTTTGAAAACCCTGGTTTTTCTTTAACTCTTTTCTGCCCTAGGCAGCTGTTTCGATGTTCTATTAAAACTTTGACGGAAAGTTCGTTTGCACATCCATTCATAGTAGAACTCTTTGTCCACAATGAACTTCACTCAAAACACCCCGACGTCAAATTCTACATTTAAATCCAAGTTCATCATTCACGAAACGATCATCTGTTCAGTCGGTGGTATAACACATTTTAAATTATGTTACAGTCAAACTATTTTCCTTTAATGTTACTGCTTTTGAACCCAACATCCGTTGCAGCTCAACTGAGAGCAATTTCGTCAAATTTTGATCTTTTGACATGTCCGGTTTTTAATAAAGCACTTTGAATTTCTTCTGACATTTCCGCGAAGCAAACTGACGGCTCTTTAGTTTATAGCCTTGCGATCACGCCAGCTTTATTTGCTTTGAGATTGTGATAATATAACAGTGAAGAAACTCTTAAATGCGTTTGTGATATTTCGCAACTCGTTGGATCGTCATCTAAGAGGTGCATCTGATGTCTTTGTCAATGAATACTTCCAACTTCACTGGTGAATTCAGTGACACTTCCAGATCTCTCGCTCACACGGAGCTGCTAATAGTCGCTGTGTACAAGATGATTTTGTCTCCGCTAACAGTGTTCGGCAACGGTCTCTTAGTTTTAACAGGTTGTGTGGATCCGCTGAGAAGCTTCCGTACGCCATCGTCTTTGTTCCTGCTCTCAATGTCAGTAGCAAACGTTTTCACTGGAGCGATTGTAGCTCCGATTTTCGCAGCTGTGGAATACAACCGGTTCTTTGGACGAAACCATTTGCTAAATCTCGCTAAAGTGGGATCTTCATTGTCATTGCTTACTCTTAATATCTCCTTTGGAATGGTTTTCGCTTTAGCTGTCGATTGTTTCATCGCTGTTTTTCGACCAACAAAGTACAGAAGATGGATAACAATGCAACGAGCCAAGATCTTCGTGGCCATGGTTTCAATAATTGCATTCACGTTCTCTGTCCTTCCTCATGGTAACGTTCCTGTAGAGACTGTTTTAAAAGTGGATCTACATTTTAATTCAACATTGAACTCCACTCTGCTTGTAATGTCATATGTCTTGCTATGCATCGCTTTTCAAAACATGACCAAAAAATCGCTCGATCTTCGCGGCGGAGCTGGGAACACAAATGTCCGCCCTAGCACGAAAGAAGTTGACAAGATCTTCGCCCTCCAGAACAAATTTCGCAATGTGTTGTTCATCTTTGTCGTCTTCTCTACCGTCCCGGCAATTCTTTCAACAATTTCCTATCACTTGGAATTGTATTGCGAGCCATGTCAGAAATACAAGTCCATCGTTATTGTCCAAAAGGTTTTTGTCAATTTGATGTTCATGAAATGTGCCTTGGATCCATTCGCGTTTGGCTGGAGGCTATCTCGACACAGACAGGCTCTTAAAAAGGTTATTTTCTGTCAGCTTCGAACTGTAAGGCATATGAGCCCCACAGTTCAACCATATAGCCAGCTCCGGGAGACTAGATTTTAATAATGTTTCCACGCAGAGTCCATAGAAGGACTTCCTTCAAGTGCTAGTTTGCACAGCAATCATTTTGTTGAAACACTGCGGAAAAAGCCAATTATTCCTGCTAGAATTCGCCCGAATAGTGATCGATCGACGCACGCCGCGCGCGTGTACTAAAACGTTCTGAGGTAATACACTTGGAATTCGAATGCGGCCTGTTTTTTAGAAATGGACTTGGATACGTCACATACATCCTTGAATAATCGTGAGTACTTCAGGTGTCCCTTGCGTTGCAGATGCTTCAAGGTTTCGATCTGGAGCCTCTCATTTGACTTAAACACTTCACGGTTACATGCATGTATGACTTGCGTACTCTTGAATTAGGCCTTTCCACAGATAAGCAGACATTTTGTTGGGATATTTAGAAGTTTCCGTAGATATTTAGAAAATGTTTTAAGACATTTAGAAAACTTAAAGATTTTTAGACATATTTACACTTTTTTGGCTCAGCTAGCCCTGCGTTTTCCTCGCTATTTTCTTGAAACAATAATCAGTTCTAAATATACCAGGAACGATCCAGTTCAGGGATTTTCCTCGAGCTCCTGAAAATCCATATCACTAAAAATGACGGATGCTGGTAACATTGAAGCGTCTGAATCTTCCTCCCCGACTCCTACTACTGCAAGAAAATTTTGAATCTTTTGGCCAGTAAGTAACCCAAAAAGCGGTTGAGGTCAGAGCCACTAGATCTTTTATTAACTTTGAAAATGAGATCAATCACCTAATGTGCTCCTCGATCGTACCCCCATACGGCAAACATGTAAATCACTTTTTTTTTATCTCAATCTTGTAATATAACTGGTGTTTCTACCGAGTTCAAATAAAGTGAGTGTAAGAATGTAATATATTTAATTCGCTTCGGGGTTGTGAAACTTTTTCGAAATGAATTAAGCTGACTTCCATGAAGTAGATTTCTCCTTGGGGCTAACTACTCTTGCTCTTGAAGCCGTCGGAGCGGCAGAAATAGGAAATACACTAATACTGTCTAAAGGCTGTAAGCGCGGAGCTCTGCTCGATTTTTGAATGGAGCGTATTAGACCACTCCAAAAAGGAGTAAGAAATTTTACATTGAGAATTGAAAATAAAAGATGATAACAATGTACCAATGTAGATGATAAGGAAACTACGTTTTTTTCTTTTTGAGAAAAGCTATCCTAATATCGTGTTCCGACAAATCTTCAGCTTTTCAATTGTAGTACCCTCGTTATTGCATTGCATCAAGCTGGGGGACTACTCTAAAGTTGACTAAACTAAAAGAGGCACATTTTTTCAGGCTGAAGGTACTTAACAGGGCTGGGATTAATTCATTACATTAATTTATCCAATCAACCTACAAACTTTAGAACTCAATTCCACTTGGTTATGTAAATTAAATCATGACTGAATCTATCAGGCTA